TATTACAATTCCATTGACTCCATTCCCACTCTCTACTCCACGTCCCATGACTATATGTATATATAATTATAGTTGACATACATTATTATTCAACATCAGCTTCAGAAATACAGTGCGGTGGTCAGGCCTCTACACCGACTAGAAGTGGTCTCCCTAACAAAACATGAGTCCATCTGGCCCTCTAAAAAACATTTACAACATTATTGATTATATTCCCCAGACTGTCTTTTCTATCCCTGAGGCCATATTATAGTTACCAGTTTGTATTGTCTCATCCCTTCCCCTTCTCCTTCATCCCCACCCCCTTCCAACTAGCAACCCTCAGTTTTTCCTCTGTGTCTCTGAGACTATTTCTGTTTCCATCAGTCTTTTTAAGTGCACTATGAGAATTCTTCTCTGATTTCTCTGTTCTTCGTAAGTCATTTGTGATACATATATCAGTGACCATGCCAAAGATTTTTACATTCAGTGTAGTCAAGAAGAAACATATCTATTAACAAGTTTTCTGTGTCAAGATGTTGTAGTGACATTTGTATTCCGAGTAGGTCAAGTGACAGGGCATTTATTTGATTTGTGTATGTTGCTTTTAAGACCAAGAATATAATTTGTTTCATAGAGGGAAAAAAATCTTTTTATAGCCATACATCTAGTTACTACCATGAATATGCAGATCATGCTGAATTGGGCTAAAAAGGGCAGACTAGAATCAAGATATGGATGGCTCAGAGCAAATGCTCACTGGCCTTGTAGAAAAACATTTCAAGAGTGGTATATCGTGGGAGCTTACTTCCAAAGAATGTCTCCCTGAAGTTACTATACAAAGTTATGTTTTTACTGGTTTTACTTTTATTTTACTTTAACTGGTTTTTGTTTTTTTCTATTTAATGTTTTAAACTGGTTAAATACAAAGGACTATTATTTGGCTTTACAAGCAATTTGCTTAGCTTTCCTAAGACTTGTATTGTTTATAACAATAGTAAAAATGAAATCTAGGGTCTGTCAGTTATGTTTTCATTATTAGCAGGCCAGGCAAAGCCAAATAAAACATCTTCTGATCTACTCTAGTGTGTTTTGAAATCTTAATCTTCATATTAAAGAAGTGTTTAAAAGTATAATCCTCAAGGTTTACTTTGTCATAATTGATTTCAGAGTTTGGAAAAGCTTTTTGTATTTCATAGGATTTTTTTTTCTCCTCAGGATCTTGACTGGTTCTTATGATAAGACTTCTCGGATCTGGTCCTTGGAAGGGAAATCAATAATGACAATTGTGGGACATACAGACGTTGTAAAANGTTCCACAAACATGTGGAGTTTGATTTCCTTATCAAGGGTCAGTTTCTGCGAATGCCGTTGGTCAAACACATGGAACTGGAAAACATCTCATCAGTAAGTTCAAATGCTTACCTGCTTTATTTCACTTGAGGTATTATCAGATAATGTAGGTAAACTCCATTTAGAATTAGCCTGAATCTACAGCAACCAAGATACTTTTGATTATTTTTTCCTAAAAATTTGAACTTCAGTTTCTGTATATTCAATTTTGAAATCCCCTCTTCGGAGTATGTATTATTCAACAAATGCAGATGAACGAATACAGAAAGATACCTTCAGATTTGTGAAGAATTGTCAAGAAAGGGAAAAGCAAATATATATTTACTGCCAGTAAAGGCGTATGAAATGATTATGCACATATAAAATATGGGTTAGGTTACTGTGATTTATAATGATTTTCCCCTTTTCAAACTTTACTTAATATTTCTTTTATAATTTAAAATATAATTTATAACTGCTTTTAGAATTTTGGGTGCAATTTTATGACTGTGGTAAAATGTACATAAAATGTATCATTTTAACCGTCTTTTTTAAAGATTTTATTGGGGAAATTGGGGGAGGGGACCAACCAAGTTGTTGTTCTTCAATCTTTGTTGTGGAGGGCGCCAGTCACCATCTCGCTTCCCGTCTACAACTCGTGGCCTCTAAGCTCAAGGTGCTGTGTTCAATCTTAGTTGTGTAGCCACCATCCCATGCGGGAGTCGAACCAGCAGCCTTATTAAGAGCGCATGCTCTATCCACTGAGCCATCCAGGCAGGCAGCTCAGCTCAAGGTGCCGAGTTCAGTCTTAGTTGCGGGTGGGCATAGCCCACCTTTGAACAGGCAATCTTGTTGTTACACCAGCTGAGCCATCCTGCCACCTGTTGGCAGCTCAGCGACAGCTCCCAGCTCGGACGCAGCATCACTGGCCCATGTGGGAATCAAACCGGCGGCTCTGTTGCTCAGAGCTTGTGCTTTTACAAAGCCAACTTTTAACCAAGGGAGCCATTTGACCGGCCCCATTTTAACCATTTTTAAGTGTACAATTCAGTGGCATTAACTACAGTTACACTATTATGCAGTTATCACCACTATTTCCAAAACTTTTTCATCATCCTAAACAGAAGCTCTATACCCATTTAACAATATGCTTTTATGATTTTATAATTCAAAGTTTCTTATATTCTTTTTTCCCCACTTTTAGCATACATTTCCACGGTCATTAATATTTCTTACTATTACTCTGAGTATACTGTTAGATCAAATAAAGTTTTTTACCTTTTGTGTGGCTCCAAATTTTCTGGATTATGAAGGGGATGTACATGAAGGAGATACATGAAACTGAGGGTCCTTCATCTTCATAAGGTACAATTTTAAAACTGCACCACCTGATTCATTTCTGGTTTCTCTCTGACTAGGAAGAGGTTGTGGAGCTAGAATACGTGGAGAAGTACACTGCACCTCAGCCAGAGCAATGCTTATTCCATGATGACTGGATCAGTTCAATTAAAGG